TCATGGCCCTCAGTCACAAGTGACTCCCCGCTGCCCATGAACATGGGACCTCGCACGCAGTAAGTGCTTTACTCGTCAGAAGGAAACACTCCCGAAGCGTGTTTGTCTGGGTCTCTATCACAAACTCGCTTTCATCTGTCTTTCGCTGAGACTGGCCGATTACATCTGACTCTTCGCCTCATCCTGTGCCAACTAAATCAAACGCCTGTAAGGCCAGGAGCGCCTGGTCCGCACCTCTGCTGATTCAGCGCTCTCGAGTGAAAAGCGGTCCTAGCCTCGTAAAACGAGGGAAATGCGTTTACACTGCCTTGACGGCTTGAGAAGTATTTCAATACATTCTCTGACGGGGTGAGAGCACAGGCCCAGTCTCTGCACAGAGCAGACCGGCTTGCACCTGCCTGCACGCCCAGCAAGACCCCAGACGAGCCCACGTGGCCACGGGGTGGGCAGCGATGGGTGTCCCTGAGATGACCATCCTGGGAAAGCTGTGCACCTTACAAATGCATACAGGAGATAAAAGGGCAAGGGTAAGAACCCTGGTCCGTTCTGGCTGGGGGCGGGGGCTCAGCCGGTTGGAGAGTCATCCTGAACACCAAAAGGCTGTGGGTTCAATCCCTGGTAGAGGCACACGGGAGGCAACCAATACATGCTGCTCTCTCACATCAATGTTCCTCTTCTCCCCCCCCTTCCACCACCCCCCTGCCCTTTTTCTCTAATAACAATGGAAAAAATGTCCTCGGGTGAGGATTAAAAAAAAAAGCATACTGGTCCACCGGGTGAATTTTAAATCCAGGGACCGCAGATTCAGTGGAATTTGATTCAAGCAAATCTCTCTTGGGTACAGCTGTTAAGAACTTGGGCCCCGGAGCTGTCTGTCTGGATCAAATCCCAGCTTCACCACTTACAGGCCGGACGAACTCGTCGGAGTGACTCCATCTCCCTTAGCTTCCACACTCACACAGTGCGCGCAACAACACTAACTTCCTCGTGGGAGCTTTGTGAGGATTAAATGACGTAACAAACGCCAGCACACAGTGTGCCTTCAGGAGCGGTTACTTTGTTACAAGGAGGGTCGTGTAGAACACACGGGACAGAGTGAAGACGCGGTTCTGTGAACAAACCCAGTGTGGCCAGTGCACCTACTGTTTCATGCTTTGGAAGAAAAGACCAAGAAGTCCCATTTCCAATTGGTTTCAATGTCAGGTCACATTAAAGAGGTGATAACAAGCATTTAAGATGTTTTCTATTCCAGCCAAAGACCCGTTTCCTTGAGATACTTAAATACAGAGGGAGGAGAGAGAGCTGCCCCACCCCGTGCTCAGCCGTAAGCCCCAATCCTCTGGGCCCTGGCACAAACGTTTCCTGAGCGCCAAACCCTGGGACCCCGCTCTCCTCCACGCTGACCCCACTGTACCAAACTGGGCTGCGACGACCGGCTCAGTAACAAGCCTCTGACCTCTCCGGCCTCTGACTTCGGTGCTGTCCACCCGGTGAGCCCCTGGCCCCCCACCCGCAGGCGCAGGTCACAGGCGAGCCTACTCTGTCTGCTCCTCCCCAAGGTGTCAAACCCCGAGGGGCCTCTTCTTGGCTCTCCGCCAGCCCTCCCCCTCGCTCCCGTCCACCCAACAGTCAGCTCCTCCTCCTCTTCTCCCTCCCGTGGGCACCAAGCCCCGGCTGACTCTGTACTTCCACATGTTCCCCAGGCCTGAGGAGCTGTGTCAGATACTTTACCTGAAACGAGGACCTGACTGAGGAAAAGGTTTCACTTCTAGGGGTCTTAAATGGTTCTTCCCTCTTGCATTCACGTTTGAATTTTACCTTATTTACGGAAGAGGAAGGAGAAGGAGAAGATGAAGAAGGTGGTGACTGGCTGAGACTTTCAACACAATGAATCTGAGCCAAAATATCCTCCTTAAAATAAAAAAGGCGCTCAGTAAGTGCAGGGAAAAGAGTACACCAAAGCTCTTCACCGACAACAGCAAGTTCACAGCAGAGCCAAGTTCACCAGAAACCCCAGCATGCCTCTCACTCACACATCGCGTGCAAAAAGCAGCGCCCCGTGGTGCGGCAGTGGGTTACGATCGACACCTTCACACACACTCTAGGACTGCAGCTGTTGTAATGCAGTGTCTCCGCGGCACTAAAAATTATTTGCAGCACAGAAGGAATGGAACGAACACCATGCAAGTCACCCAGACAACGAAAGGAACACCAGAGGAAAAACACAGCTAAGCTTTGAAAAATGTTAAGACATTGAACCTTCTGCTTTCGCAGACACCAAACACATGAGATCTCAGACGGGATGAGCAGAGCCACCGGGCTGACGCGAGACAACCCCAGAGCCGTGACAAACCGGACCTGCCAGGCCCGGCCGAGAGCACAGAACAGACTGTCCAGGCCGTGAACCGGGGAGCCAAGGGCTGTCGCCGTGTGCTCCCCAGGCTGTGGCTCGGCCCACAGCCTCGTCGTGAGAACAGGTCGCTGGTAACAGGCGACCTCCCTCGAAGCCAGGCGACGGCCCAACTGGCGTCGCTGTTGACACACCGAAACCAGCCTAAACAATACATCTCACTGGCGTGCGGTTCTGAAAGCTTCCCCAGACGCACAAAGCTGCCCTTCCTAGGGAAGGCTGGCCCGCGACCCGCACAGTCGGGTGTCAGCACCGCCAGCCCAGAGCAGCTTTGAAGAACACTGTCAACAAAGCCTACAATGGACCCACACAGCCTCCCTCACAAAGCCCGTGACTTCACACTGGAGGGGTCAGCGGGGGTGAGAGCAGGGTGGGGGCAGAGAACCTTTTCAATAAGGGCTGTAAGAGGAAATCTCAATAAGCAATTATTAGAGGTCAAACAGCACTACAGACCTTATTTGAGATAATGAAACAATAACCAAACTTAATACTTTTGTGAAGGCTTCTTTTCCTGATTTATTTCAACATGGGCTACAAAATGGCCTTAAAATGGCCTAACATTGGGTTGGGTTTTTTTTTTTTTTTTTGAGAAGTGAGAAAGCAAAATGTAGTTCTAACATGGAAGTACTATTATTGCCTTCCTCATCTCTTAACCAATAAAAATTCCTTTATAACCAATATCATTACATTGAAAATCTCTGCCTATTAAAAAGACGTTATATTCCTAAATGCCCACTTAACTTACAGCATTTGTTTACTATCTGCATGGTTAAAAATAACAACCATCCCAGAGGCTTTTCTGGAAGAGAACTAACTGTTTGGGACTGGCAGCCCGGCGGAAGGCACAGCGAGGGGCTGCGGTGGCCCCTGCTCCTGCCACCCATGCCGGGCACACAGACCTCCTCCACCCGGGGGTTCGGGGGACATCGGCAAACCTCCAGGCATGTCCCACTCTAAGTGCCTTCTGATGTACTTGGGACCGAACACAAAAATGACCCCAGCATTTACAGAGCACTCTGTTATGATGCAGAGCCTCTGTAGGTTACAAAACTGGAAACAAGTGACAGAAGCCCTGCCTGTCACCGAGCTTACGAGTTAAGTAATATAACTCGTAAGAGTCACAGACAGTGCTGGAAGAATGAAGAGGAAGCAGAGGAGAGAGAAGGAACAGCACAAAGACTTCTGAAGGGCGTGCTACTCGGGCTGAGCCTTGAGGGACGGCAGCCTTCTGAAAGATGGAGGGAGTCACCCTGTCACTCTCGGAATAGGGCAAGGTACGAGAAAAGGGGGCGCAGCACGAGGCGAATTTGCAGAACGGCCAGTTGGGCCGCAGCCTAGCATGTAAGTAAGGACCAGGTGCGGGAGGAATCACGGAAATGTAACTGGGGTCGGAAGGCTGGAGAAGCATCTAGTCCCGCCTCAAGTTCAGATGAATTCTCCGTTTCCTACCAGGCACTGCTGAGTGTCCGCCTGACTAGTCCGGCAGGTAGGACGGGGCCGCCGCCTCCACGCTTCTCCTCTCTGCAGGCTTCAGGGCCCCGCAGGAGGCCCCGACTGTCTTAGGGCAGAGGCGGTGGTGCGTAAGGTGACTGTGACGAACACTCACGGGGCCAAAGCCCTGCTAAGTGCTCAGTACTGGTCTGAACACTGCAGAACTCCTCTCCACGTTCTTTCCAACAGTACTATGAGGCTTCCCTGATAAGGCAACGGAGGCACCCGTAAGTTGAAAAAGTACCAAGAAACAACAGGCCCTGGCTGCTGTGGCTCAGCTGACTGAGTACCAGCTTGCAAACCAGAGTCGCAGGTTCGATTTCTGGCCAGGGCACATGCCTGGGTTGCGGGCCAAGTCGGGTGCCCAGTGGGGGGCGTGTGAAAGGCAACCCACTCATCGATAGTTCTCTTCCTCTCTTTTGCCCTCTCTTCCTCTAAAAATAAATAAATAAAGTAAAATAAAAAGAAATAACATTCCCTAAAGCGCTCTCGTTCTAAAGATGCAAGTGGCAACGGTGTTCTGCTATCTGTCCTCAGTGTCCTTGTTGTCACCCACCGTGGGTAATCAATCAGCAGTAAGTGAACGAGGAAGCATCACCTAACTGATCTTTTCATTAACGTTAATGGGAAATTCTACTGTAATTCTCTCAAATTATCCCTCTCTTCAAGTTCTCTAGAAGCAATACAACAACGGCACCAAGAGCCGAGTGCTGGAGTCGAGGTCCCTTTTACTCGTGTTGCGCCTGCGAACGAGGGAACGCACGTGACAGCCGAGGCCGGACCAGTGCTCCAGTCCAGCCCGGCCTCCGACACTGCCCGCCTCAGCACAGGACCCCCCCGCCACGCCCTTGCAATCGTGGGGTCTGCATTCAGCTGCTGCCAGACGCTGAAAGGCGACTCTTGATGAACACCCTGCCTTTTCTCTCATAATCACCTTTATAAACGGTCATTAGCAGTTCAAGAAGCAAGTTCTTTGTTAACATGCAACAGAAATGCCACACGAACATCTGTCAGCTGCAATGTGTCACAAGCGTCCCCGAATGAATGCACTTTGCTCTCTGGAAAGGCAGCCACACCCGGCGGGATGAGTGAACCGTACCTGGTTGTTACTGTTGGCAGCTGATGCATTAGCGTGAGCCGTACTCGCTGACAGAGAATCGAGGAAGGCTTGGTCAGCCACTGAATTTCCACAAGAAAATGGGTCTTTTCCATCACTGGGTAAAATCTGAATGTCAGAGACAGACACAATTATTTTCACAGGTTAGAGTTATATCAGAGTCTGAGTCCCCAAGCACAAGTAAGAACTGTCATTTACTATGGGAAAAGAATTTATATTCTGAGAAGGCAGCAAGCCCAAGACCATCCATAACGAGTCCCTTGTGTAAACACGCAGAACACTAGAGAACGCAATTCATGCCCGAATCTACTTAAATCCTCCCAGTGTCCTGATTCTTGTTGATCTGTAGAATCCTGAGACGGCTACGGATTTCATCACCTTCTCCAGAGGGTTCGCAACTTCCTACCCCAACTCCCGATCAGGAACGAGCGCTGCAGGCAGCAGCCAGAACACCTTCCCACGGTACCGTTCCTCTCTACTGGAGGGGACCTGTAGGTACCTTTATTCTTGCTCTCACTCTGATTTTCCCACAGGGCACCAGGCAACCTTAGTTTCTATCATGGGAGATGAGGCAAGCTCACCTATACCAGGTCCTTAATTTTGAGTGAGCTACAGACAACCAACAGGGGGCGCCAAGAGGCTGACGTGCAAGAGGGTTTGCTGGCTGTGTGGGTGTGACCCAGGCTGGGAGCTTCATTCATTCAGGGCGTGGTAACCCTGTCCTTGGCATCTACTGTACTAGAACTTCAACCAGACAGCGGTTCTCACAGCAGCTCCTTTCACACCCTCTGTCTGTGGGAATGGGAGAAAGAGCGGCAAATGTGTCCTAAATCAGCACAGGGAGAGGTAATAAGCTACTTAAAAAAAAAAAAACTACTTAAACTTTGAGAATCAACTCTCCGGCAAACAGTACTGCAGGCAGCAGCTATTACACAACACAAGCCAATGAACAATAGAGACTTGTATGCGGGATAATGAAACCTCGCCATCCTTGGAGAGAACTTAAATCTGAACACCAGGAGTCACTCTTTGGAGCTTGGGTCTATCAGTAGTATTTTTCTTAGTTCTACTTCAACGTATGCTCCACATTTTATATAATCAGCGTGCACTACTTCCACAATGAAAATTTTTTAATTAAAAAGTTGCTTTCTTCCAGTTTGCTCTTTAAATTGAGTTGGTAGTTCATGAAAAGACGCCCGACGGAGGCCAGGTGGGATCGGCAGGTAACAGGAAGCTCTTACTTCGACATAGTCCGTGGGGACCAGGCCTCGCTCTCCCCTGCTGTTCCTTCCTTCCAGCCAGCCTCCGCCAACATCCTAAGAAAAAAAAAATTTTTTAAAGGAAGAAAAAAAGACTACAGTTGGAATTTCCTGCAGAAATTTTGCTTTGTGAATTGTTATACAAGAAACACAATGAACATTAATCTTTTTATTCCTATAAAACTAAGTTCAAAATTTAACATTTTTAAGCCTTCTCTTTACTCCAGAAAATTGTACCATCTAAAAACGAGAACATCGAACTCTGACAGTAATGCCCAGAGATTGAAAGCAGCCCAGTAACACACCACCACCATGTCGTAGCTTCCTGGCTCTGCTCTGGGGGACATCACAACGCTGTTCTGCAGCTCCAGGGTCAAGGAGCAGAGCGCACACCCCACCTCTAGAGTCTGAGCCCCCCTTTGTGACCACTGGGGCCAACAGAACGAGGTGGACATGGCCTGGCCTTGAGAGGCTCTGCACACTTTAGACAGCTTTCCTTGCAAAGAGCTTTCCTCGCAAAGAGAGTGCATTTGGGCTGCTAGACAATGAGGCAGGCAGGGCCCGGTCTGCCCACTGCCCCACCCAAAGCCAGCGCCCCCAGCAGGAGCCCAGCCAGACAGGGGAGTGAGGCCGAGTCAGGTCCCTGGGCTCCAGGTGACGGCAGGCTCCTGAACGAGCCCAGGTCGGGGAACCATCCAGCCGACTTGTGGACTGCTGGTTGTTTAGGCCACTCAGCTTCAGGACTGCCTGCCACTTAGGGAAAGCTAACTACTGACCCATGGTTCCTCCGCTCTGCCGAGTAAGCAATACTAGTAAACTAAATGATGAAGTACTCCATACCAGGATTCCTATTTCTCAACCTATTAGCTCAGCAAAGTCCCAATTTCCCCCCTTAAAACAGTAAGAGTTAAGTGCATGAAGTGTGCCCTAATTAGTTAATAACTACCTGAATCTAGATAAAATATTCTTTTAAAGAAGTCACTTTAAGCCACAACTCTGTCCATTTTTGACAATAGCAACTTGAAGACAATGCTGTTTTTTTCCATGATATGAAGAACACTTCTTCATTTATAAAAATTGGATGGGTAGATAATCTGAATTTTCCCTATGACTGAAAACAGAACCCACTTACTTATATACACTTAGCATATTTTATAAAACTACATATATCGTATTTTGCCATGTATAATGAGCACCCAAGTTTCTGTGCCCATTACACACGGGATTATTAGACCCATGGTATGTAATCACTATACCCATGTATAATGTACATCCTTATTTTTCCCTCTAAAATTTGGGCAAAACATGCTCATTACACAAGGCAAAATACGAGTACTTCTACCCAGCAGTCTTTCTGTATCTAAAACACAAAATAAGAGACACATAAATAAAGAACAAACTGACAGTGACCAGAGGGGAGGGGACGATGGGGGAAAGAAGGTCAAGTCAAGGAACACGGTATAAAAAAGGACCCATGGACAAGGACAACGGCGGGGTGGGGAATTAAATGTGGGGGGCAGGCAGGGAGAATAATGGGGGGAAATGGGGACCACTGTAATTGAACAACAATAAAAAATTTAAATAAACATAAAATAGGTTTTAGAAATACTGTCAACAGTAAGAAACCACTACCCTCTTGGTCACCCCTCCCCCTCCCCTCCCAGAGTCCCCCCGGCTGGCCGTCTGGCACCTGCCTCCCTGCCACCCGTCAAAGGTGCCCCGGGACTGGCAAGTCACAGTCCTCCTCTCCAGCTCTGCACGTCTGCTTTTATTCCGATGCAAAGCCACAGGCCAAGGGTGATTATTTACTGTTCTTTAAACTCAACATATCTAAAAGTAACCTCGTTTACTCTTTTCCAGACTTACATATGTTAATAAGCCCAGCTCTGTCTCAGATGTAGAGGACAAACACCTCAGGCGTCCTGACCTTCTCCCCCAGAGCATCTGACAGGCACCAGGGCCTCGGGTCTGACGCTTCGCAGCCTCCTTATCCATCTTCTTCCCACTCCCACTGCTATAGCCCACAGCCCGGTCCCCGGACTCCACTCCACTCGGTACAGCTCTGCTGGATTAACTCCCCTGACGTGCAGGTCTCCCCCGCCGCCAGCCATGCACACCAGGCAAAACCCTGAAACGAGCCCACCGCTCAGCCGATAAGTCCGAAGTCCGTGCACGGCCGGCCGCACACGTCCTGCTGGGTCTGGCTCTAGGAGCCAGTGCTCTTGGCCTGCTGATCTGCACACCCTGCACGGTGCTCCCCAGCAGAGAGGGAAAAGCAGCGGCTCACAGGCCAGACAGACGTGGCTTTGAATCCTTGTGTTGCCGCGTACAAGCAGAATGGTTTGGGGGCAAATTCCTTAACGTGGCTAAGTCTCACTACCCTCATTTGTAGAAAGAGATAAAAGATACAGACCTCACCGAGTTCTCGGGGAAATACATCAAAGACAACATGCATAGCATTTAGCCGAACCCCTGGCTCACAGGCTGTCAAATGGCAGCAGATGCATCTAAGAAACACTGAATGCTTTCTAATCCTACCCCTCCGCCCCAGCGGGGGGCTCTCTCTGCTTCTGTCTGACAGAACCCCACCCAGCCACGCCCCAGGGGACTGCCCTTTTCTCGGTGTTTGTAAATACATATCCTTACTTTACCATCAATACTTCGTAAGCAATAGGAAAAAATTCATGTGGGTTTGAGTGATCAACTTGTTAAAAAAAGTCTTAAAAAGTAAGTCCCTAAGGGACACAGCTCTCTTACCGGGTTTGTAATTGTGATGATTTCCCCTTCATTGACCGTCAGTTCATTATTTCCAGGCTCCGCAGCAAAATCATACATAACCCGAGCCTGTTGGGAGTGGAAAGGAAAGGAAGTTCAAGTGTAAACTTAGTGAAAAACAAACAACCTTTGAGTTCACGTTGTAAACATGCTGGTATGAACAGAACACTTCCTGACAGTGGCCACGGCTGCAGGGAAGGAAGACGTGTCACCGAAATGAGTCCCCAACCCTCTTGTGAGTGAGGACAGAGGACACACACCAGGGCGAGAGCCCCTGTTCTGTTCTGGGATGGGGGCGCTGCTGGCAGCTGCCCCACTGCCTTTAGTGTTCAGTCCCCCAAAACTAGAGAATACCCCCATTTCGTCAAGGGGAAAAGGCGCGCCTCTCCATTTCAGGAGGTAAGGAGGGGAACTGTGGAGTGTCTGGGGACACTCCCTCTCAGGGACCGAAGAGGTACGTATATGGACATACAGGTATGTCCACACGCCAAAGAGCCGCACGGTTTCAGATTAACCCCCTGCCATTAAAACTCTCACTGTGCCTCATCTAGAGCCAGTGGGACGAATTTTCACACCATGTCGTCCCCAACCACGCAGACTCAGAACGCAGGATGTGCTTATCCTCGGCCACCACTCGGCCCCCGTGCAGTGACCCCGGGCTGTGCAGACCGGCCGGGCAGCCTGCACAGCTGCAAGGGTCAAACTTTTCCCGCAACGAAGGCTCAATTTCACAGCAAACAGGCCACAGGGAAGCCATGCCGGTTGATGTCGGGGTGCTCTTCCAGCCTCTTCCTTAAGAAGACCCTCGAGGCACCAAACCATAAACGTGGGTTTCCTGGACCACTGCCACATGTGTCTTCCAAGAGGGAGAATCACTGCCGTGAAGAACATATTTCATATATACTTTGACGAAACATAAATCTATCCTTTTTAACCACTTCAAATCCTATATAAATGTCTTTCATAGACTATCTCATAGAAGGAAGTCCATCTTCTAAATCGGGGCTCACACATACCTAAGAACACAGGGTGCGTTTTAAAAGTAACTGTCTGTCCAGAGGGGCAAACTGAGGTTCCCTCAGGGCGAGTTAATGAGGACGAGGACACAGGAGCCACGCCCACACAGCACGTATTACTCCGCACCCACCACGCGGCAGGAATGGTGCGGGGCCGCAGCCGGCAGTGGCTGCCTCACATTTGCCCACAGGTGCCCGAAACCCTCATCACAAGGGTTAAGGGTTCGTAGCTAACAGAGGATAAGGAAAAAACCCCAATACTAATTTATTTTAGAATACAGCAAAAACAGTTAAGATGGGCTGATGGACAAATATGAGATAAAGCGGACACAGTAAACGCTATTTACAGAATCTGGACGGTGAGTGTATGGTGTTCCATGAAAAATGATGTGAACTTTTCCACATGTTTGAGAGTTTTCATAATGAAATGCTGGTAAGAAACGAATGGGAGTGCACCGTCTGTCAGTCAAGAAACGGCGCTGATCCCTTTCTTGCATCTTTAAAGAGGTCGTGGGGGGAGCAGAACGCAGGCAGAGAATTCCGCGAGCCGGCGTTCCTTTTCCTCAGCTCCTTACAAAGGACACAAAACCGTGCACACAAAACTGCGCCGAGGTGTCTGCTCAGGCAGCTGCCAAAGTAGACGGGCCTCTGCCCGTGGTGTTGTGGAGTATTTTTCAAACACACGTCCTACCGACCACGGTCCCTGCGAGCATCCTGGGGGGGCTCCGGTGTGCTCAACCAGCCTGACGCTCTTATCGTTTCTCGGGAATCTCAGTTAGCAAATTTTTTTTTAATCCAGCTAACTCCAACTAATCCCAAATACTGGATACCAAAGCCTGTTATTTACCAAATTTATGACTTAGTGAAACAGAATGTCAAAAACAAAACAATGTAAACTCTTAACACATTTAAATCTTACTGAACATTTACCCGTGGAAAAAATGTATATAAACATAGTAGGTCTATTTAAAATGCTGATCTAGGACTTTTTCTTATCCAGATATGCTTCTTAAAAATTAGAAATGAGAGCCCTGGCTGGTGTAGCTCAGTGGATTGAGCGCAGGCCTGGGAACCAAAGGATAGCGGTTTGATTCCCAGTCAGGGCACATGCCTGGGTTGCAGGCCAATTCCCAGTAGGAATGCATGAGAGGCAATCATACACTGATATTTCTCTCCATCGCTTCTTCCCTTTCCCTCTAAAGATAAATAAATAAAATCTTTAAAAAATTAGAAATAATAATTTTGAAGAACAAAAAGATTTAAAAGCACATCCTCGAATGAGAATGTCAAACAGAAAAAACAACTAAACAGTCTGGGGGAGCAATTGTTTCTTCCTTCACATTTTAAATTTCCTTTTTAAACGTTTTTTCTTCATTGTATTTTTTCCATTACCATTAGTGCCTTTATGCCCCTCGCCAGCAGTCACCACGCTGCTGTCCACGTCCACGAGTCCTCTTCCCTCTGTGCTCGGTCCGGCCCCGCCACCCTCCCCTGGTGTCACCTGCTCTGCATCTGTGGGTCTGTCCCCATTTTCCATGTTAGTTCAGTCTGTTCATTACATTCCACACATGAGTGAGATCACGTGGCATCTGTCTTTCTGTGACTGGCTAACTCACTTAGCATAATGTTCTCCAGGTCCATCCATGCTGTTGCACGGGGTAAAATTTTCTTCTTTTTACAGTGGAGTGGAACTGCATTGTGTAAATGTCCCATGGTTGTTTTACCCACTCATCTGCTGATGGACACTTGGGCTGCTTCCATAACTTGGCAATGGTAAATAACACTGCAATGAACGTAGGGGTGCTTATGTTCTTTTGAATTAGTGTTTGGTTCCTTGGGATATATTCCCACAAGTGGGATCGCTGGGTCAAAAGGCACATCCATTTTTAATTTTGGGGGGGAACTCCATACTGCTTTCCGCAGTGGCTGCACCAGTCTGCATTCCCACCAACAGTGCAAAAGGGTTCTCCTCCCTCTACATCCTCGCCGACAGTTTTTTTAATTACAGTTTACTCTCCATACTATTTTGTATTAGTTTTGGGTATACAGCACAGTGGATAGACAATCATATACTTCACAAAGCGGTCCCCTGATTTTCCAGTCCCCACGGGGACCCACACACAGTTATCACAGTATTACTGTGTTCCCTGCACTGCACGTCACACCCCCAGGGCCGCTCTGTGAGGGCCGACCTGCACTTCTCAGTCCCCCACCTTCTCCACCCAGCTCCCCAAGCCCCTCCCCTCTGACAACCACAGGCCTGTCCCTGGGTGTCAGTGAGTCTGTTCCCATTTTGTTTGTTTATTTTAGAGGAGCAGTTATTCTTATAAAGCTTACATATGACTGGAAGACTTCAGCACGAAGAGCTCTCCCACCGCCCACTTCCCTTGCCTGTCCCTGCATCTGGCCCGCACCCGCCTGCCTCCTCACCATCTTCCCTCATCCCCTCCCCTTGTACCTCCTCCTCTCGCCACACGGCATCCGAAACCTAAAATGCTGACCCAGACCCTGCCTGCCAACCTACCTGTTTTTGATTTAGCCTCTGAAAAAAAAGTTGTTTTTCTACACTGCTTTTCTAATGTTACTTATACTTTAAGAAATGACTTATTTTCAACAGCTAAATGTCCACACAGTTCTTAATCAGTAGATAACTGCAACGTATGCTGAATTCAGCTGCGATTATTACAGACAAGGTGAGAGGCTGGCAGCAATCTCGCACTTTAACTTCCACTGTCCACACGCAGTGAACAGGTGTTCACAGACTCAGAACCTCACGGCCAATGTCTGGAATACTAAGTGAGCCACCATACACCCGCCTGGAACGTGTGTAACCCACCATCCTTATTAGCACAAGCTTCCTTCTGGGAGAAGAGAGAGAAGCACAAAAACAGCCATGCTTTTTGACTATTTTGTAAACATCTGTCGTCTTGTCCGCCCCATCCTCCTCCTGGAAACTGTTTCTGTTGCGACTCCAAGCAGTCAGTGAGCAGACAACCCCAACAGGACAACTGGAACTCTTTCCCAGAAAGTGATGTGGTCTCCAAAATACAGGAAGAACTCACACCACTCAACACCAGCAAGGCAAACAATCCAATTAAAAAAATGGGCAACGGACCTGAACAGACACTTCGGCCAAGGGGACATGCAGATGGCCAACAGACACATGAGAAAATGCTCAACGTCACTAACCATCAGAGAAATGCAAATTAAAACCACAGTGAGATACCACCTCACACCTGCGAGAATGGCTACCATCAATACATCAACAAGTGCTGGTGAGGGTGTGGAGAAAAGGGAACCCTTGTGCACCATTGGTGGGAATGCAGACCGGTGCAGCCACTGTGGAAAACAGTATGGAATCTCAAAAAACTAGAAATGGAACTGCCTTATGACCGGCGGCCCCACTTCTGGGCATACACCCTAAGAGCCCCGAAACATCGATTTGAAAGAACATACGCACCCCTGTGTTCACTGCAATATGTGCAGTAGCCAAGATCTGTTAACAGCCCACTGCCCACGAGCAGATGAGTGGACCAAAGGCTCTGGTGCATTCACACAGTGGAGTCACGCCCGTGGCCGTGAGGAGAAGGAAATCCTACACTTTGCGACAGCAGGGACCTGGAGACTATTATACTCAGTGAAACTAGCCAGGCAGAGAAAGACGACTGCGCTCTCACCCAACGGTGGAATCTCCTGAGCAGAATAAACTGACAAAACAGAAACAGAGGCGGGGACCCGGGGAGCAGACCGACAGCTGTCAGAGGGAGCAGGGAGGGGCACCAGGTGAGAGAAGGTGGGGCAGTAGCCAAGGAACACAGATGCGGGACTCAGACTAAGTGCGGTGATGGCCAGAGGGAAGGGGGGCAGGGCGTGGGTGGAGGTGGACAGGGGGAGATGGGGACAAAAACAATAGTGTCAACAAGAAAAATAAAGGGGGAGAAAAAGAAAGTGCTGTGAATGCTGGGGAGACCGGTCTTTTTCTATGACAGTGTTGCCAGTGGCTAAGGAGCTGAGGTATGAAGAAGTTGGGAGAATCCCGGAGAGCGGAACGCA